TTTTTTTGTACAAACACTTTCTGTTTGTACGGCAGTTTGTACGGCGCAATCCTCCTCATCTGATATCTCGCCTAATTACCTGTCTGTCTGCCTCTCTACTTTCCTCAAGGAAAAGTGCAAGTGTGTTGCAACACCTTGTGATGTAAGTGCGAAATCTGCCTCTGCTCTGTGCGAGCTTTAGCCTCTAATAATCTGGTTTTTGCCTTTTCCCCTGTTTAGTGAAAGTAAACATGACTGTAGAAATGCCTATTCCCTGGAGGTTCAAAATCAAACTTGTCAGAAGTTTATTCAACTTTACAAACGCTGGTGTGGTGTACAACCACAGGATAATATAAAGCGTGCCAGTTGTTGACACCAAAGGAGAGAGTACCAAAGGGGAAAAACGAGCAAACGGAAAGAAGAAGAAGAAGAAAATGAGTAAAGAGGGGAAAGATGCAAAGAGTTGAGGAAATGGAAGAGATGGGCAATGGGTAATGGGAAACGTACAACGGAAAACGGGTTGTGGTGGTGGTGCTAAACCGCAATGCAAAAAGCGAAAAATAGTGTGTGAAAACTTTGTGGTGAAAATTATCATCATCATCATCCAAACGTGCTGGAGCAAGATCAAGAGAAAAAAATTTCGAAATAATGCAAATCGGTGTCGTCCTCGCCAGAAGAAAAAAGAGAAAAAGAAAAGTCGCCGATGACGCCATCGCGGTCATCTACGTCGTCTGAGTTGTAGAGAGAAACAGGAGGAAAAGAGGAGGAAGAAAAAGAGAAGAAAAGGGAAAGTCTTCGAAGAGCCTTCGAAAAAGTAATCGTCGTCGTCGTCGTCGTCGTCTTTGCCGCCAGTCACTGCTAACGTCACAACGCTGTCCAAGTACTACGAAGTAGTAATTTGTATAAAGTAGAGTGTTGTACAAGAAGAAGGCCAGGATGGTGATCATCGGATTTTGTTTGATACAGTTCGAAATGCCATTATCATCAGTCCGCTCCGGCGACGTCCTTGTTCGAGCCGAAGCTGCTGTTCTTGCTGCCGCTGCCACTTCCGAGGCGTTTCTTCGTCCGACGTTCCTCCCTTGCCCGGAAGCGTTCCTCCAGGCCCTCGAGGGCCTCGGCGAAGGCCTGCTGCGCCTCGAGGATTGCCGCCTTGTTCGTCACCACGAACTGCAAGTTGATGTGCAGGTCTTTGTTCTCTATGAAAGTTGGGGATTTAGAAAATGGAAATTTGCTCTTTAGTGCCCAGCAACTTACGAGGTATATCCAAGGTTACATGAACGCTGAAATGTTTGTTTACAACAATTGAGTTGTGCATTTAGAAACTGATAAACTGAAAATCTCAAAAGATCAATCTACTCACAAGTACTTGACGGTGATGATGTTCGACTTCATGGTCAGCTGGGCCCGAGCTGGTATGGTAATCTCAATCACCTCCTCCGCTACCTCGTTTGGCTCCACTTCATTTCCGTAGGAAGGTTCGCCGAGGACCAGTTCCTGGAATGAATAGCCATTGAAGATTATCATTATCATTATCATCAAAATTATTTACCAGCGTTCGATGCCGATCCCCGGTCATGAAGATCTGCGTCTGGTAGAGCGTCGCCCGTGGCTGCACCTTCAGCGTGGTCATGTTGTTGATGAAGGTCTTCAGCTGAATGGTCTCCCCGGGCAGGTAGCCCTTCCGGTCGATGGTCGCCTCGATAGTGACCGAGCCGGAGCCGATGCAGAAGAGGCCGAGGTCCTTCTCCGAACTTCCGCTCACCGTTAGCTGATTCGAAGAGAGAAAAAGGGAGTTTGGGAGTTTAAGTTTGAAACAAAGAGAGTCCTGTAGAGTTCTTACCAGCAAGTTCGACTTGACTGGACTCTCGATTTTAATCTCCAGGCCCGTTCGGTGCAGCTCCTCCACCTCGATGATGCACTCAACGAAGTAGTTGATCGCTCCGTAGCGGCCGTCAAAGGTGGGCGGTGATTCGCTGGTGATAAGAAATGGGTTTTGATAAGGTTAGCTGAATATTTTGATGAGAATTTTAATCATTTTCACCATTATTACCTACTGTCAGGCAGTGCAAAGCGAAAGGGAATCTCGTGGACGCCGGTGCGCAGCACCTGAGAGGCCACTGTGTCAAAACAGTGTCAAAAAGTGAGAAGAGGGATTGGAAAAAGAAGTGGTGATTAGTATTCATGTTTTGATGTTTTTAGTCAGCCCCACAGTGCTAGTGTCCGTCCATCAGTCTCTGTCCGCCTTTTAATGGTTTCTTTTTGCTTTTTCATTTCCTTCACTTTAGCTAGCAACATTAAAGAAGAAGAATTCTGGTGGCTACGCTCGAGGAAATATGTGCCCTCTTGTGATCACGTCTCTCGCGCTGAATAATTGATCAGTCACTGCAGCGGCAATATTCGAGGCTACAAGCGACTGCAGCAAAATTGCTGCTGCTGCTGTCATCAAGGCTGATTGATGGCCCTCGAGAAGAGGAAGTTATTGTGAATATTGTGAAAAGTTCGAAATTATTTATCGTGAATATTCACGGACGACTCAAGGACACACTTCAAAAGGAGGAGCAGCTTTTTTCGCATTTTTGCGGCTTATTTACCTGATTTAGGCAGCTGGTAGAAGTTCTCCAGCAGCTTCTTCTGGTCGAAGGTCTCATCGGCGTGCTTGATCTTGGACATGCAGACAACGCCAATCTGCAGATTGGTCAGCGGCAGCTCGCCCTTGAAGTCGATTCTGTTTGGGGATTTGGATGATTGAATGGTCGAAAAAAGGTTTTATTTGCGTTTGAGCTTTTGGAATAATAGAAAAGGTTGGAGCTTACCTCAGCAGGCCGTGCACGTTCTCGCCAAAGTTGAAGACCTTCGTCTCGTTCTCGAGGACAATGTCGACGTTCTTGAGGCGCAGTGTTCCGGGCATTTTGCTGGTTGGTTTGGTTGGTTGGCTGTTTAGAGTTTGACGAAAAAGCTGAATATAAAAAGGGTTCTTTGGCAGGGTTTTGGAAGCACACACAATGTTTTCCTCTTCTTCTTCTTCTTCTTCTCTGCCGATCGTCAATCGACTAAATTGATTCTGCTGCTGCTGTTGCTGCTGCTGCTGCTAGTGCCACTGCAACCGAACAAAAAGGAAGAAGAGCACTGGGCGCTCGAGAGCATCGATGCTCAATTAATTGACGACATGGAAAGTAGGCGATAACTGTGGCACTGCTGCTCAAGTAGAAGTAGAAGGAGAGAGACAGGAAAGTGAGCAAAACTGTGAGAGAAGAGTAGAAAAGTAGCAGGGAATGAAAGGATGCTGCCTTTTTGCCCTTTTGCTGCTGCTGCTGCTTCTGCTCCTGTTTACACAGCGAGTAAACTCCGGCGATGGGTGAACTGGAAGTTCCACTCGCAGTTTGAAGAGCGGCACTCNCAGGAAAGTGAGCAAAACTGTGAGAGAAGAGTAGAAGAAGAGTAGCAAGGAATGAAAGGATGCTGCTATTTTGCCCTTTTGCTGCTGCTGCTGCTTCTGCTCCTGTTTACACAGCGAGTAAACTCCGGCGATGGGTGAACTGGAAGTTCCACTCGCAGTTTGAAGAGCGGCACTCGAAACTCGGTGGGTGCAAAGGCTGAGGCAAAAGCTGATCAAAAGAGGCTTGTCTTGGCTTGGGCAGTCACTTCAAAAGAGGCTACCGCGTTTCAAAAGAATGAATCTAGAAATTGAAAACCGATGAAGATTCAGGCGGAGAAGAGAGTTTGATGAGGTTTCAGTAGTCGCGGTAGTCGCCGACGCCGATGACTGCTGAACTGCGACTGTGGCCAATCGCCTGCTCTTGATCAGTTTCAGTCAATTTTCCTTCTCCTCCCCCTCATCTTCTTCTTCTTCTCTTTAGGTTCCCCTCCTTCTCTCCCATTCATTCAGGCGACAGTGACGAGAGGGAAAAGGAAAGACAGAATCAATCTCGATTAGATCGTAAACAAAACGGCGGCGGCGGCGGCGGCGATGACAAAACAGCAGCAGCAGCAGCAGCAGCTGTGGTGGCGATGGGAGAATGGCTGCTGGGAGCTGGCTGCACTGTAAACACACGCAAACACACAACGGCTGTTTCAGTGAAGAGAGAATTGAGAGGAGAGAAAAAGAATCCAACGAGGAGCCACTTTCTCTCTTTCTTGTGCTCACTCTGAGAGAGAAAGCCAGAATTCTCAGTTCTGTGGAGTGCTGTCGCTGTGGCGCCCATAGGTCACTGTGCGCATATTCCTCCTCAGTGTCTGCTTTCCTTCTTCTCCTTCTTCTCCTCATTCGATGTGCCGCCAAAGAAAGTGTAGTGTGTTTGAAATGGAGGAGGGAAGCAGAAGAAGAAGCAGATTCTTTGATAGCACAGTGTGCTACTGCAGCAGCCTCTGCCCTTAGCTAGAAAAAGCAAGANGAGTGCCACCGCTGTGGCGCCCATAGGTCACTGTGCGCATATTCTTGTCAGTGTCTGCTTTCCCTTCCCTTCTTCTCCTCATTCGATGTGCCGCCAAAGAAAGTGTAGTGTGTTTGAAATGGAGGAGGGAAGCAGAAGAAGAAGCAGATTCTTTGATAGCACAGTGTGCTACTGCAGCAGCCTCTGCCCTTAGCTAGAAAAAGCAAGAGCGAAAGCGAATTTCACCTTTCTCCTATTGATTCGACAGCAGCTTCCTATGATTCTCTCTCTCTCTCTCTCTCTCTCTCTCTCTTTCTCGGCGTCCGGGCGCCACATTCTGCTGCTGCTGCTGCTGTGGGCACACTGTGCACACAGACAGACCAAGAGAATTCACTCTGGATTGCCTCCTCTCAGTAGCAATGGCAATGNCACATTCTGCTGCTGCTGCTGCTGTGGGCACACTGTGCACACAGACAGACCAAGAGAATTCACTCTGGATTGCCTCCTCTCAGTAGCAATGGCAATGGTAATGGTGAAGGAAGGCAGCAGGGAGCCACCGCCGCCACAACCACAATGGTTCCATTTCTTTTCTTCTTCCTCTTCTTCCTCCAATTCCTACTCTATCATTTTCCACTACCGTCGTTGTCCTTGACTGGCCAAACTGCTCTACTACTGTGCAGAAGAGCATTTGCAAGTGAATACCAGTGTCCATGTCCCTCTGTCTGACTGAGTATTCTGAGTATTTGAGTGTGTGTGTGTGTGTGCAGGCATTTGGAACCGAGTTGAACATTGTGTGCTGCCACGTTCGTTGCAGGGCAGGGCAGCGCTTCCCCAGCGAATGACCAAATAATCAACGCCGGTCGATGGACGTC